GGGGGGGGGGGGGGGGGGGGGGGGGGGGGGGGGGGGGGGGGGGGGGGGGGGGGGGGGGGGGGGGGGGGGGGGGGGGGGGGGGGGGGGGGGGGGGGGTGAGGTGATTTTATTATATTACAGTTAAATATTTAATTTAATATAATAACTATGAAATGTAATTAATTAATTTAAGAAAAACCTGATTTTTGTAATTTTAAACTGTTGGGCCTGATTTTTAATTTTGGAATAGTAAACACCTGACCCATAAACTTTTCCCAAATTAATAAGCCCAAAATCAAAATATTAAAATGGTCCAAATCAAGTTTATTTTTCAACACGCATTCTTAAACTTGATTTGTGGTCTCCAAGTGCATCTCTTAACTTGAAAAAGACTTCATGCTTCAATGGTTTGGTAAAGATATCCGATACTTAATCTTAAATCTTCACATACTTTAGCTCTACATCTTTCTTGCTATGCTTTATCTTATGAAGTGATAAATTGGATCAATGCGCTTGTTTTGATCATGGAACACGTGGTTCTTTGCTAATGCAATTGTACATTTGTTGTCAATGAAAATCTCAATGGGTTCCTCTTGTGTCATGTTCTAATACCAATTTGTTAGGAAGAGGACTTATTTGGATAGTATTTTAGGAAATTCTTTGAGAGGTTGAAGAGTTTGGAGAAGGAACTTGTATTGTATTATCTCTAAATTGGCTTGTTGGTTTGTTACACATGACAAGTGGACACCTCTATTTATAGTGCTTAATAGACTCTTCTACATTACATACCACTCAATTATCAAATTAAATGTATCTTTCAACTACCTACTAACATCCACTAAATACCTTTTAAAACAATACAATTCTAGATCGTGACATAATTTAGAATATGGACTAATCTAGATATGAGTTTATGGACTTAACATAACTAAAATAATTAACAAACCCAAAATCAAAATATTAAAATGGTCCAAATCAAATTTATCAGCGTCGTCAAATTAGGATCCTACATTCGAGTTGTAGAATGACAAGACTTAAATGCGGGCGAAAGAGAGTACATTTGATTTTTTTAGAACCTACGTTGTAAAGATTGGGTGTGTTACTCGATTGTGGTTGAAATCTTGGCCAAATAGTTAATAGTTCTTTTAATTGAAGTTAGATTGATTAATACTAAGTTATGCGAAGGTTAATGTCATTGTATATTTGCTTTTCTAGTTAAGTATACGTGAAGGCTATCTGTGGAAATTAGAAATTTGTATTGTGTTAACCTTCTGGTATTATTTGATTGAAATGAGATGAGATGGTGATGCATCTCGTCTTAAACTTCTTCAGTAAGGAATAATTAAAGGAAATTCAATAATGTACTATAAGCCGGCAGAGATTGAAAGAAGACGGCCGGCTGTGTCTAGCAGGAAGTCGAGAGATGTTACTAATTGATAATATATTTGTAGTAGCATGCTACACAACAACCTTGAGCATCTTTAATTAGCGGGACGATGCACAACATACAATATTTAACTACAAGACTTGCAAACGAAATAGTTGAGTTGTCTCCTTGTGAAATGAACAAACAGATGAGCACAAACAATTCCTAGTGAATTCCACAAGAAGGCACTTAGAAAAAGAATATGACTCAGTAGGGTTTTTGGTATTGGCAATCCAAGTTAGGTCCGGTGTCGACATTAAAGGTGCTGGCATATCTTTGAAAGAAGCCAATACGATCTGCAACTCGGCCATCGGTGGGTATTCCACACTCCAGCCCTCCATTTATAATGTTGGTTACCAACCCAAAACCTGCTGTACGATTGGCTGCCAAATCCTCTTTTGTTGGAACATATCTTCCGACCATGACACTGTGACAAGAGGGCTTCGGCTTATTCTCGGTCATCCAAAACCAAAAGGCAGTTTTGAAAGCAATTAAGGAATTATTGGAGACTGAATCCGGATTTTTCAGACCATCGAATCCCAAGGCTTTTCCTGCCGGACCATAGTTATAATTCCTGCCCCCATTATATTAATTAGTTATCTCAGCTAGAGGTAAAGTCAATCAATTGACAATAAACGAAAAATATATATTTACCATGACAATTGAATAGGACCTCTTCCTTTGTAAGACTTGCCAGGATAGCAAGGCCATTGTTTGTTGGTGGAGTCACAGTATTCAGATTGAGGACTGACTTCTTCTTTGAAGCACAAGCCCCACGCAAAAGGGCCATCAGGGGCAGTTGCCCAACCTCCGGTAGTCTCATGGGAGATTTGAGCAAGAAATGCTGCTATTTCTCTCTTACGCGTAGCTAAGCTTCCGGTATTTCCAAATCGTGGAAAGCACTTCGATGCTTTGATGAAAGACTCATAAGTATAGAAGTCCTTGGCCGGGCAGGCATTATCGTCCTTGTGTAGGAATATTGAATGATAGAGCTCTTTACTAACAAGAGAGGAAATGGAAAAGGAGTCAACTGCAAAGCAAAACAAAGTGCACCAAAATAAGAAGAGCAGAGCCATATTGTGAATATGCATAATTGGCAATGCCAAGCCTCCTCATTCTTGTGACTTATTTATATTGGATTGGGTCTAGTAACGTGCTTCATCCATAATTGATGGCTCAAGTAGTGGCTTAGTGCTGTTGAACAAGAAGTCAGAAGTCAATTCTCAAATACCATTATTTTATCTCATAATGCCAATAAACTGCTTTAGTTATAAAGTTTCAAACGATTTCGATATTTGACTAAGCGCCTAATTGCCGGCAGCTGACTAATAATTGTTGACTAAGTCTAATAATTGTTGACTAAGTCGTGGGTAATTCTAATTCTCCAAAGTGGAAAAGAATCAAGAATGACCAGTGTTTGTTAATTGTTATGTACGTAATTAAAACCCATAAGTTTTCATTTTACTGAATTCTGAAATAGTGAATATTACAAATGCTTTCTATTTCTAACTGGCAACAAAATAGGCGAATTATAACAAATTATTTTCAATAAATTAATCATGGAGTGTTTGGTATATCGTATTGAATTAAGGGCGATAAAATTAGCAGAGGTAGAATTAGGAGAATATATTAGGATGGATTAAGTTTGCTACACTAAAATATAAAAATATATTAGTGTTGAACATATAGAAACTAAAAATATGTCAAAGTAAATAAATAAGAAGAGAAAATATGTTGTCAAGTTCATGACTTGATGGCTCGATTGCCAAGTGTGGTAGTTCAGCGATTATATCGACCGTGGATGTTTGTCTTGGTTCAACATGGTGGCGATGGTGATGCATAGTGTTGAGATAAGCGATTGCTAGAACTTGTTCGAATGTAGCATCGAGTCTAAGTGGTATTGTATGAGTCAGTTTTCCATCGGCAATGATGGTGGCGCACGATGATAAGGTAGGGGCATCTAGGGTTTGGTTGAGAGGAGATCATACCATAGCAAGAATTGAATGCCAATTATATCAAGAAACTGAAGAATTCAACATTAGAGTTTAAGATTAACATCTTTTGTTTTATTTCATAATTTGGATGATATTTTTTCTTTATTTTTGGACATTAAATATTCTTTAGTACAATGGCTAGATCCATTTTGTATTGGATGAAGATGAACTCTATTATTTATTTATTTTAATTCAAAGCTAATAGTTTAGTATTTTTTTCATTTTTTTGATTAATTTTGCATACACATTGCATTATTTAATTGTGTAACTAACAATTAGATAATTAGTTATTTGTTGTTTTAAGAGATTTACAATAAGTTTAGAACGTGACAAAATTAACGTATGTGCAATAAATGTTGGGAATAACATTTATCATTGTGCAATCATATAGATAATCTAAAATTTAATGCATTCTATTAATTCGAATTCATATTAGAAATAGACTCATGGCGTGATTAGAATATTATTAATTTATTTCAAAAAAGAAAGTTAAATATATTAGATTATCAATTGTTAAGAATACATGAGTAAGACTATATTACAAATCAAGAATTGAAAAAATTGTAATAGACAAACTCTAATCTAGTACAAGCATCCATTCAATATTGATATAAACAAAAGCTTTTACATAATTCTTAGATTAATTTATAATCAATCATCTCGTTTGTGTTACATATCTCGAATTCAATACAAAGTTAGCACACTTGAATTAGAATATAATTCACGTGGAACGATACTCTCAAACAAATACTATTCAAAACAATATTTTTAAATTTTAAGGCCACCTAAATGTAAAGGATTTTAAGAATTTAAGCTTTTTACACAATAAAAGATTAGAAGAGCTTGATTTTTAATCAAGAAAGTCGACACTGCTTGCTATGCATGCATATGTTCTAGAACTTCAACACCAACTATCGACAACTACATAGAATAAATTGAGAAATGTCATCCATGACACCATTGCCGGACTAATATATGCAAAAAAAAAAAAAAAAAAAGAATTATCTCCACTTTCCTCCTTTCTAGAAGTAGAATAACGGGACCATGATAGGCTACAAAAAACTATTCTTCGTGTTTGTTGAATACAATTAATAAATAAATATTTATGTGTTAGATTTTTTACAAAACTTTAAATTTCAAGAACTTAGAAGAACGCTTTTAACTTTATTATCAAGATCCTTCGTGTCAAATTACCAAAATAATTGAAAGTGCGGAACATATCTTGATTCATTTATTATTGAATCTTAATTCTGGATCTTGAATAGTGTGTTCTTGATTACAGCTTCATGATCTTGATTGCTTATATATATATTGTTCATCATGATATACAAACCTAAAGGAATTGGACTCTACACATATTTAGGCCCTTAGTTTAATTAGATTTTCAAAACTCAATAACTTTAAAATCGTTTTTAGATCACTTTAAACAGGTTTAACCTTAAGACGACCTTTAATATATATTTAATTACATATGTAGGTCCACATGACAAATTAATATTTTCCAACAATCTTCCACTTGAACCCCATATGTTACCTTATAAACGTGTCTAACCCTATGACGTCAACACTTTTTCTATCATAATCAAAAACATCTACGAACAATCTCGTCCATTGATTATGTCAATATAGAATCAAAGCGATCTTCTTTCAAGTATCATAACTAAACCCATCAATGATCAAATATATCAATATAATCGAATAACATAGATCTAGTATGGATATATAGCATGAAAATTACATGTAATATAATTCAAACATGCCTATTTCCAATTGGTCGTACCTTATTCTTTAATGAGAACAAGCTAAAAGCTTTAATCAAAGTGAAACTGAACTAAATACTTTATTTCTGAAAAAATTGAATATTCATGGATAAAATTATGTATTTAAAATAGACAACATCCAAATACAAACTTTCATTAAACTAATATATTATCAAAAGATGCAACACATATATGAACAGTATGTTCATGAAAGACCTTGGGCGGTAGTTCTTTAATAAACGGGTCTATAATCATATAGTTTATTCCAATATACTCTATAAAAACTTGACCACTCTGAACTCTTTTTTTAGCTACTAGGAACTTCATGTCTATAAATTTTGGCTGTTAGAGTATAAAACTGTTATTGTCATAGAATAACTAAAATGATCTTTCAATTCCATCCAAAATGTGCAGCATAGTGACAAAATTTCGCAATCATATTCCATGATCAGAATCTGAATATTCAATTGTCTCGTCAATGTCACCACTGAAAAACGTCGTCTTTATATTCATCTGATCTAGCTTAAGATCAAAATGTGGTACAAGTGCCATAATAGTCCTAAAAGAGTCTTTCGTTGAAATAGGAGAAAGTCTCTTTGAAATCATTGCCCTTCCTTTGAGTAACGTCATTTGCAACAAAACGAGTCTTATATCTCTTCACATCACCGTTCGAATCCCCTTGATTTTCAATTTCTATTTACAATCAATGAGTTTCGTACTTTCAGACAATGAGACAAGTTCCAAAACGTTATTGTCACTTATGGACTTTTTCTCTTCATTCATGCCATCATTCCACTTTTGAGAATTATCCATTTGCATGGTTTGATGAAAGTTAATTGGATCTTCTTCCACCAATCTAATGGCATCCTCATTTTCTTGGAGAAAGACTATAAAGTCTTCCAGAATTACCTTTCTCCTTTCTCTAGTGGATATTCTTAATGTCATATGTTTTTAAGGCTGTTGAGTTTGTTATTCTAAAACAATTTCTTGATTGTGTAGAAATGGTTCTAAAATATTGCCTTGACCCAGAATTGCTTCTTGAACAAGATTTAAATCAAGAATTTGTCATAGGTCTTGATCATTTTCAATTATAACAAAAGGGATATTGAAATATTCCTCCTCGAAAACAAAATCCTTAACCTTAAAATCTCATCTCTTTTCCTCCCCCGAAAACCTTCACATCCTCAAAGAGTACTAAACTTGCCCAGGACTTAGCAAACCGTGATGAATTTTTTTTTTCCCAAAAGACCAGTTGGCTGTGGTTTTTTGAACTCCATTAGTAATAGACATAGAGACCTCAAGAATGCTCTAGAATATGGTAGAAATAAACTCACTACTGAAATTATAACTAATGCCCTTAGGAATAGAGTTCTTGAGCTTAAATCTGAATCTATTAATAGTCAAAGTGGAGAAAATCTTTTGCAAAAGGCGAAAGTTCTGGTAAATCTAATTTCTCACTCAAAGTCTTCAAATATTTTAGAAAGAAATGGAGTGTTAAAAATAAATCCAAGAATAAGGCAAAAGGAAATAAATGTTACTATTGTGGTAAAATGAGTCATTTTGCCAAAAACTGTTGTAAAAAGCAAAATGATTTAAAGGAGAGGAAATTTGATGAGGATAATACAGTGTTGGCTTATGATAATAAAATGAACACTAATAATGGCCTAGTTCTTGTAAATATGGAAAATAACTTAAATCAAGAATGAATTCTTGATTCAGGTTGCTCATTCCATATGTGTCCTCACAAAAAATGATTTCTGGATTTTGAAAAAAAAAATCAAAGGAGGGCATGGAAAATAATATGACCTGTAAAGTAAAAGCAGTAGGAACAATTAAACTGCTTTTATGAAATGGAAAGATTCTACTTCATAAGGGCATTAGATTGGTTCCTGGTCTTAAAAGAAATTCTGTCTCTAAGTATGCTACTACTGTACCTCAAACTGTAATTTTTGGATTAAGGACATTAAAATCTTTAGGGGTTGTGATTTAATCACTTCTATCTCAAAGAGACATGGTCTTTATATGCTAAACATTTAACTGGTCTAAAAGCAGTAACTTTAGATGATAATTTCATTTTTTTTTAATTATGGAATGATATACTTGGTCACATTGGAAAGAATAGCTTAAAGTCTTTGCAAAATAAATGAGTATTTGGGGAAATGAACATTGGCGAATTTTCTAATTATGAACAATGTTTGATTGGTAAACAAGTTAAATTGCATTTTCCTATTGGAACTCATAAAACTAAACAAATATCAAAATATTTGCATGATGATTCGTGGGGTCCTGCATCTGTATCAACTGTCTCGTTTTAAATGCTAT